TGTGAAATGGTGTGGACAGTATTTTCTTTCATGATTTCTTTCATAACCCTTATTACCAAATGAGCATGATCTAAATAAATTAAATAGGAGATTAACATCTTTATTCACTCCCATTCCCCATGGGATGGACGTAGAGACCTAAAATTCATTCCAGATACACAATATAACCATCCCTCCCAAACAGTGGTCACAAATCAGTCCAAATGTGTGGTAGTGGGCACATCTGCTATATTGAGATAATCCATCCCACCTCACAGGTGTGCCACATCAGGATGCTGATCTGACATCATGAGTAGTGCACAGGTGTACCTCAGACTGCCCACAACAAAAGGCCACCCTAGAATGTGCAGTTTTTTGCGCTATTGGGGGTCTGGGGACCCAGAACTGGTCAGTATCTGGTGTGACCACCATTTGCCTCATGCAGTGCAACACATCGTCGCATGGAGTCTATCAGATTGTCAATTGTGGCCTGTGGAATGTTGGTCCACTTCAATGGCTGTGCGAGGTTGTTGGATATTCGTGGGAACTGGTACACGCTGTCGTATACGCCGGTCAAGCACATCCCGAACATGCTCAATGGGTGACATGTCCGGTGAGTATGCTGGCCATGCAAGAACTGGGACATTCTCAGCTGCCATCTGCCCTGAACAATGTGAACCATGATTCATCCGTGAAGCGCACACCTCTCCAACGTGCCAGACGCCATCGAATGTGAGCATTTGCCCACACAAGTCTGTTACGGCGACGAGCTGGAGTCAGGTCAAGACCCCGATGAGGACGACGGGCATGCAGTTGAGTGTCCCTGAGACGGTTTCTGACAGTTTGTGCAGAAATTGTTTGGTTGTGCAAACCAATTGTTCCAGCAGCTGTCTGGGTGGCTGGTCTCAGACGATCTTGGAGGTGAACCTGCTGGATGTGGAGGTCCTGGGCTGGTGTGGTTACACGAGGTCTGCGGTTGTGAGGCCGGTTGGATGTGCTGCCATATTCTCTGAAACGCCTGTGGAGACGGCTTATGGTTGAGAAATGAACATTCAATGCACGGGCGACAGATCTGGTTGACATTCCTGCTGTCAGCATGCCAATTGCACGCTCCCTCATTGCTTGTGGCATCTGTGGCATTTTGCTGTGAGACAAAACTGCACATTCCAGGGTGGCCTTTTGTTGTGGGCAGTCTGAGGTACACCTGTGCACTACTCATGATGTCAGATCAGCATCCTGATGTGGCACACCTGTGAGGTGGGATGGATTATCTCAATATAGCAGATGTGCCCACTACCACACATTTGGACTGATTTGTGACCACTGTTTGGGAGGGATGGTTATATTGTGTATCTGGAATGAATTTTAGGTCTCTACGTCCATCCCATGGGGAATGGGAGCAAAAACAAAAGTGTTGCGTTTATATTTTTGTTCAGTATAGTTACCAGTCTGACATTGTCAGTTCCCTGTTTGTTTTTTCCTCACTGGTTTAGGTCTACAGGCTGAGCGGCGCAATCAGCTGACAGAGCAGTACTATTTTAAGCAATAGAATATGTCTCGTGTGCATTACTTTTCCCTCGAACAGTCTCTCACTGTCGTTCTCTAAAACCTAAAAGAGAATTATGGATTTGATCAACTGGTCTCTGAATGCTATTGACACCCTTTTCTCAACGAGAAGTCTGGGCTCAGGAGAGCCCGAGTGCCCTGGAGGGACTTTCCCTGCCGGATACACGATGGATGGGTGGCAGGAATGGAGGATCTTGTGCCTGGCGGGACTGTCGATCAAGGACGCTGAAGATATCTACCTATTCGGAACCATGATAACAGGGTTCTTGCTGATCGGAGCTGGCTTGGCCCTGACTTATCGGAGAAATAAGAGAGCGGAACCAGCTGTTCAAACCCCCCCCCCAAGGCTGACTGCTGGAATTGAAGCGATGGAACGAGGCGCGACCTCTCACACTGAACGCAGCATGGTTAACACCTTGGAGACGCTTACAGCTGCCGTGAAGACTCAAACTAACACCATTGAGCGTATGATGGGATACATCAGAGAGGGGCCTGCTCAAAATGAAACCCTTGAGCGAAAGTTGGATCACATCGCAGAACGGATCACTGCAGTTGTGGGGTCTCAGAATCAAAAGAATGACAACACCACGGAACAGAAGTTTGATACCATCATGGGGAGGCTCGCGGCTCTCCAACGGGAGATCGAGAGACCAGTGTCAGAGTGCTAAATTCGAGCTGCTCGCATAAAGGAGAAATCAACAATATTCAACATATAGACACCACGGCGTCAGCTGCTCAGGCCCAAGGCTAGAGCCGACCAAAACAACTCCCTGATAACGACTGTGTGATGACTATTCTTCCCATCCCATGCAAGGCCACCTGGGTTGGCTGGCAGACTGTTTACTTAGCCTGATAGGGCGAAGGACACTGTCTCAGCTGGACTCTGGACACGCACACACATACACTTACATTGATAAGCCCGCACTCATCCCCCTCCCTTTCCAAACGCCTTCGATGCTTGTTTCCTGTGGGGGAAGACGGCGGGTCTGCGTGCCGCGCTGAAATGGTAGCGCTGTGTAGGACGACTGTTGTGTTCCTTCGGATTACCTCCCACCCCCCTATCCAACCCCTGTGGCTTGTCACGTGCTCTAATGTTGTGATGTGGACATTAATGTGCTCCCTTTGCAGAGGAGTTTTTTTTTTGTTTCCTGTTCTCATGCTGTCCTCCCATAGGTGCCCAGCGTGAGAAGAGGTCTCTTTTTTTCCTGTTGTACTTTTCCCATTGTTGTGTACTTTTTCAGTGTTTTCTCTGTAATGCTGCCGATCTCCGACTGTATTCCCATGTGATGTCTTTGTTGCGTGTGTAAGTCTTTGTTGCGTGTGTAAATCTATTCCTCTGCGGGGCAACCTGCATATGGCCAATAAAGCATTCATTCAATTCTCTTTTCCCATGCACAAACCATGGAAACCTCATGTCCTTGTTTTTCATTGAGTAGAACTTCATACTTGAGGAAATACCAAAATGTAAGTGCGGGGTTGGTGTAGCTCAGGAGGTAGAGCAGGTCAGTTGCTGGTTGGGACGGTTGGTGGTTCAATTCCTGGCTTCCACAATCTGCATGCCAAATATCCTTGGGCATAATACTAACCCTAAGTTGCTTTCTGGTGCATCCATTGGAGTGTGAAAGTTAGAAAGCACTTGTGATTGTCAGGATACATGTAGTATTTCATGTCCATTTTAAGGTGGATTGATCCACTTTTGCAGCAAGCCTCAAGTGGCCATTCAAGGAACTGGTGTTTAGTTTGAATTTTCACCTTCAGATATTAGTGCTTGGTTGAAGCATAAGAATACAGAAGTAAATTTTGTGAGATGACATTTGGAAAGGGTCTGTCAAAGACAAATGCACTGAAAGCTGGTGAAAACTAAAAGCAGACAAACCATCAGATGAAGTGGAAGCACAGACAGACTGTGTGTGCGCACTGTTAGTGTGTCACTTGGTAGGTTAACAGCGACAGCAGTAAATAAAAGTGAAATCAGTGAAGTCAGTAAAATCTTGCAATGAGCAGATAATGCATACAGTACAAACTGTTACACATATACAGACACTGGATGTGTTTCAACCACATACAGAGATTGCACCATTGACAGTGCACGAATGATGCAAGACTATAGATATTTATGCATTTGATGAAAATGCTGCTGTCATTAACAGTACTTTGATATATGACTTCTCGGTGATAGCTCTGTTTGCCAGTGTTCTCCACAGATGAGAGTTGCCATGGGACAGCGATGAGAGCGTCTGCTTGTCTGTCTCTCTCTCCGTCGTCTTCCTTTATTGTTTTGCTTCCTTTTAGCTGCTCTGCCTCTGCTAAGACAGAGGCTGTCAGGATTGGCTGAGAGCTAAATTGCTCAGCGCGAGCTCGGTCACAGCTCAGCTCTCCTTGAGATAATGAAATGACAATTAATGAGAAAGCTGTTGCCATTCGCTCATTTGTTCACTTGCAAGTCGAACGGCAGTATGTAGAGACAGACAGAAAGCACTGCAGTCGTGGCAGGCATTGGAAAGTGCCCAGCGGTTGTTTTCATATTAAAGCTGCTGTTAAAAATTCATGTGACTAACACAAAACGAAAGTTTAGCCCAGTGGTCAAACCATGATTCAAAGGAAATATCATTTCAATACCAGACTGAAAACAATTTCCAGATAGATTTCTACCTAAATCTAAATGTCAACAATCAGAATACATGTGCTTGTCTGTCGAATTATGTGGGTAGAGACTTTGGATGCACCTCTAGAGAGATATGTCGCACGTGTGGAAAAGGTATATCCTTTATTAACCCAGAGACACTTCAGTCGATACATTATTTACCATAGCCTGGGCCCTACACAGCAAAGAGCCAAACAGAGCTCTGGCCTACTGAGATAGTCCCTGACAAAATGGCAGAATACACACATATTTCCTCAAAAAGAAAGAGTGAAAGCAGGCCCTTGGGCATCTCATAAAACCTCTCTCCAATATGTGCTGTGAAGTCAAAATTGTAGCCCAAAAACCACAGAGAGTAAAAAAATAAATTCTATTTAATTTCTGTCTGCTGTTGTTGTCCGTTAATGCATTTTCCTCCCAAAGTCAATACACTTGTAGAATAAAACATAAAATTATCTTAGTAGAAGTAACATGCTCACAGAATAGGAATTGCATACTGTATATGGATTTGTGCTTTTAAAAGACTCCGGGCAGGCATTTTATGTTTCTGCCTGTAAATACAATTATTTTAACTGAAGGCAAAAGCTAGTAAAGTATGACATGAAATTGCATCATTTCTGTTATTATGCTAGTGGGGGATGTGATAAAGCTGTGTAATCTAGTTAGCAAAGTCCCTGTTTGCATGGCTGATCAAGCTAAGCTTCGTGTGAGTGCATTACAATAAAAAGGCTCAGTCAAGTACACAAAATGAAAATGGAACAAAATGACTCCAAGGTGTGGAGCACACTGCAGCATGGGACGATTCAGTGCTTACCTGGTATTGGTTGGCCTTGGCGAGTTCTTGATTGGCTGACTCCACATTAGAAGAAGCTGTCTGGATGTAATCTTCAATACTATCTGAGGAAACAAAGAACAGATTGGATTCCTTTTAATATAACAACATACAACAATACTCATTCATTCACTGACTTGCTCACTACTGGTTTGTAGAGCCTCACAAGTACTACAGTTGCAGGAATTTCACCTCATCAGAAATCACTGCACATCTATAACATTGTACATATTGAACAAAAATGATACACAATATCTGTAATAGTAGTATAGAAGTAAAAACACCCCTGTCAAAACAATGCACTACATATTTGCCATACATCATGCCTCAGAAACCAGTGTTGCAAATATATACTTTAAAGGCCTTCAAAATATGAAACAATCTTTCTGCCATCATCATGCTGAAGATTTGATTGCCAGCAATCTTAGTTGCCCATCTCAGCGTTGTGGACGTGTACAGGTCTTGTAGGGAATTGCAGCCAATCATCTTCTCATTGAAATGGACGACACACTGCAGTCTGGCTTTGTCCTTGGCAGTGGCAGCAGCGAACTAGATGGTGATGGAGGAGGTGAGGAAAGACTCAATGATGGAGGAGCTAAAATTGTACCATCACGGACTTAGACAGGTTATATTTCTTCAGCTGGTGCAGGAAGTGGCTTCTTGTTGAAGTAGCTGATCTTTAGGTCCCACTTTAGGTGCTGGGAGATTGTTCCCAGGAAGTGGAAGGACTTGATTGTCTCCACTGGACAGGCATGCTGGAATATGGGAACTGGTGGAGCTGGAAGTCCAGTATCATCTCTACTGTTTTGATAGCATTGAGCTCCATGTTGCTCCAGACTCAACCCCACCTGAGGTGAGCCCTGAGAGCATAAACATGCTTGGTGGATTGTTATGTAAACTCTCTGTGGACTAGTTCACATGGCCATAAGAAACAGGAAGACACACTGATGCACTCTCACACTTACTGTCTGATGATGAAATTTATCTCATTGGGACCCAAGCAGACCGTAGTGAACATAGTCACTTTGGCTTCAAAAGGCCAACATGGCAGCAGCCAAAGCTCCAAGTTTCAGAGATGGGTGACATCTCTATTGTTCATCGTTTGTATAGTTTAGAGGTAAAGCCTACTCTTTGTTTTTTTTTTAGCAAACTGTGTGAGATTCTTTTCGATTTAAACATTTCATGTGAATATCACGATGGCTGAAGCCTGTTAATATGCAGCTGCTATCAACCTGCATGTGCTAAGCAGGACTTGAAACAATTACTCGTGCTGAAGTTAGCAGGTAGTCAGTATACCCTGCAGGAGCTGCTTTCTTAGACTACAGCATCAATTAATGTTCAATGGGAAGACATGTTACAGTAATCTGTCAAAATAAAGTTCACAAAGTCAGCAGTTCGTAAGCTTTTGACGTTGGCCTCGAGGTGTGGCCTCATTTAACCTCCTATAATCTCATATAACTTGCCTTAGTAGCCTAATGGGTACTACTGTTGTACCTTTCTGTGTGTGGAGACAGAAATATTGAGAAAGTCAAGATGGTGCAAAGGACAGAAGCAGGAAAAAAGACAGAAACAAGACCAGGACACAGTTCATAGGTAGCTGAGGCCTTATGTACTGTTTTTAACCACTGCAACCCTACACTGCTTATCTAACTGAAAAATTATCAAAAGAAATGTTTCAAATCTTGTGGTGATTCAGATATATTCATAAGTAACACATTAATGATGCTCTTCTTGGCCTTTCATTGCAAGATTTTTAAGTAAATTTGTGCCCGTCCGCATCCGACCCCCCTTCTGATTTACAGTATTAAATCTTTCTATTAAGAATCCGACTTTAAAAGAAAGTTCATTTTCTGTTATTTTAACTATGATTAATTCTCGTACAGTACATTAACAGAGGCTTCAAGGTATTACCACTGAAAGGAATTGTGATCATAGCACTTGAAATATGTGCCCTGAAATTAACAAAAAAAGAATATGAGCAAATATATAATATTAACAAAGATTTAGTAGTTACTTCCCTTTGTCATCACTGGCATACGCAGATGATGTTACATTTAAAAAAAATCATCCAAATAAATGACAGAAAGAACACTAAATACAACCTTGCTGATTCATCTGTAATAACACTTTGCACCGGAGAAATAGTCTATATTTGATCCATGAATATACATTTACATTTATAAACATAAAAAAAGAAAGTTAGAATTTTAATGCTTCTGCGTAATATGAAAAGACCAATGGCTGGAATACTTTGCCACCTGTGGGAGCAGTGTTAAAGAAGTGACTCTTCATTGTTACTCTTGACACATAATCAAGCGGTACCAGGAGCTACTGGTCTAACAGTTAACACTGCGACAGCAGCAAGACCTCCTCTTTTAAACTTGTCAATACACGGACATTAATGGGATGAGACCGATGCGTTTAATGAAGTGGGTGGTTCAAAATCTTTGGTATCACCACACATAGTTACCCACATATATTTACAGCTGGCCAATAACAGTGAGAGTACTATTGATTGTTTTGGTGTAGTGAGAGTAAAAAGGTTGCAGCCAGCTCAAAGATGTGTCTTATGTTTAAGGCTTCAGTGGCCCCTGATAATTACTGCACCAGTTGAGCTTGTAGAGAATTAACTTTTGAACTTAACAAGAGGAGGTGGTTGGGTGAACGAATTGTGCTGATTGACTAAAAGCATTTACTCTGTAATGGTGAGTTAAAGAAGATGGGGAATACATGCTTAGATTCACCAGCTCAAGAAGTAAGCCTGATTAATGGACTCATTAATTAATTCTGTTTTTTTTCTGCCCTTCTGCTCAGAGGATGTTCTTTGCCATGATTAGGAAATATTTGGCTTTAAAGAGGTAACTTAAACTAAACCCAGTAGTTAAAGATAATAAGTAAGATTCTGTGGGTACCAGAGTTTAAATGTGTTTAAATAGGTTTTCAGGTGATCCACCATTTCACCAAAAGGGTATAGAAGGCAACTGCCTTGAAGACAAGGGACCACTGATGATCACTGTATGTCTATAGGCAATTTTAATCATTAAAAAAAAATTATTATTCCAGGACATAATGCAATGGCACAAAGCAGTTTGTGATATCCTCCTGAGAACCGAAGAAAAAAATATTCTGATTGAACATTTTTTGTGATTTCCTTTCTTTGGAGCTAAAAGAGGCCACCCAAACACATGAGATATCAATGGAAAGCCCAGGATGTCCTCTATTCAGTACATCAGGACTTAGTAGGGTATCTCAAATAACAAATAGTGTCTATTACAGAGGATATAGGCTGGTTCTCAGGAAGAGGATATAGTCATTCATGTTGGTTTGTTTTTATCCAGTTTGGTTCTTTTTGAGTAATTAGTATATTATTGTACTGTATCTAATGTTATCATTACAGTTTGAGTTTAGTTCTGTTTATCTGACCTCCTTTTAGAGCCTAAAACTATCATTTGACTTTTTATTCGTATATTTCTTTGCATTTTTCAGGGTAAAATGAACCTCACTTTTCCAAAAACTACTATGTCCTTATTCCTGCTCAGCTCAGCTTGTCACATATGCTCACAAAGGGAAGACTCTTTTAGTATATTTGAGAGAGTTCCAGAACCTTCCCACTGGACAAACTGCAGGAATAGCTGGGGCTCTGGATGGTTGTGTTATCTTCACTCTAATGGACCATTTTGTTCTTTTTCTTTTATTTATAGCAATGGCGGTTCATGGAGCGTCTCAACAGTTCCTGGATGTTAGCAACATACACTAGCTGAGTCACAGAGATATAGCACAATAAAAGTTTGAGACACACTTGTAAAGGCTAAAATGTTGTTTCTTAAAAACAAGACTGTATATTATCCAAATCACACGAATCAAATTACCTTGTGTATTAAAACATGTTAGCAGGTTATCCAGCAATTGGGCAGATTAGGCAAGCAAACACAATGTGTATTATGATCAAACAAAAAAAGTTCTTCAGAACAGAACTTCTTGCTGGCTAAATATAACTTTATGACATGTAGTTGTCTAATCTGTTTAATTATGAGTATGAGCTATTATGATAAAAAAGATACTTGCATAACAATCAGGGGAACAACTATCTATTTTGTAATATGGCTATCAGAGATGGGCAGTAACGCGTTACTTGTAACGCGTTACTGTAATCTGATTACTTTTTTCAAGTAACGAGTAAAGTAAGGGATTACTATTGCAAAATCAGTAATTAGATTACCGTTACTTTCCCGTAGGAACGCTGCGTTACTGCGTTACTAAAACCGTGATTTTTTTTGCGAGAATGTCTCATGACAGTGACGTAAGCAAGTGCGACGTTGGTGACAGCAGCTGTGTGCAGATCAACAATGGATAATATATCGAGTGCGGGAGAGAGTATGAGCGTGCAGCGTTTAAAGTGTGGAAGTACTGACCTTACTTTGAGTTTGATTCCATAAAAAGTGACAAAAACATTAGCGTCCATCGTGCGTGGGAAGAAAACTTCTTTTTACAGCGAAAAAAACCCCTAAACTTCCGAGCAAGCACCGAGTAGCTACGACGTGATGGGAAACTCACAGAGACACTCGCGCGGATTCTTCAACTGACCGCAGCACACCTGCACCAGGGTAACCCTCCGCCTACCCTGCTCCTGCTTTACAGGTGAAAATAGAGCAAAAGGACCGCTGAGTCTTTGACTTTATTTATTTTCTGCTGTGTTTTACTTGCATCTGTTTGAAAGAGTGAGTGAAAACACAAAAAATATTTTATTTTATGTGCTGGAATGTGTAGAAAATAGGTTTAAATGTTAAACTAATTTATTCAAGTCAGAGAATGTTGCATATAATTAAATGTTTTGCTTGATGCATAAAGTTAAAAGATTAAAACTGATAAAACAAGTTAAAAAAAGAGACTTTTCCATTTGATTACATTTTGTATGATGGATTATGTAGAAAAAGTAGAATTGGGCTGAAAGATCTATCACTTTATCACCTCTTCAGGTTGTAAATCGTGTTTTTAAAAAGTAACTAAGTAACTAAGTAATTAAGTAATTAATTACTTTTGAAAATAAGTAATCAGTAAAGTAACG